CAGTGATCTCGTTCGGCTCCGGGCTCTCCGCGCGCCGCCCGAAGAGGTGCCCTTGCCGTTGCGGTCAGCTCGCCGTCGCCGGCAGGGGTTGGGCCGCGCCTGGCCTGCAGCTTCACTGCCGGGGCCGAGCGCCGACCAGCCCCGGAACGTGTACTCGACCCCACCGCCGACGAGGGGCTTAGGACTGCGGGGGGATTGAGAAGAACTGGTAGTGAGACTTGTGTAGCAGAGGCACATGCTAAACTCCGCAACAGTGCCCAGCCGCCTTGCGCAGCGCGCAAATCGCGTAGGTGCAGCGTGCACATGCTTTCCTGTGTGTGTCGTTGCATGCTGCACAGTAAGCATTCGCTCCTTCCAGCACCCTGCGGCCGCAGAGCTCTGTGCCACTGGTTGCCCGCGCGCTCGCATGAACTTCCTGCCTATGCCAATGTGCGCTGGCTGCAAGCACCCGGCAGCAGCCGCTGGTGGGTGCATACCACCACAGCTTGTCTGTGTAGGCAGAAACATGCAGAAATTACATTTCGTTTGAGGACAATTTCGTCACTGCGTTGCGATTTCGCTTCGAGGTCGAAAATGAGCCCTGGTGCTGGACCTGTGTCATCACATCAGATCCAGGATACACTTGTTCGATTATAGCAAGCGGTGCGGCTTGTCAGATTAAGCGCATTTTTTCGGGTCCTGATGCTACACATGTTCGCGTGATCGATGCATCAGACCGGGATATCGGGATGCCACGTCAACGCTTGTTTGAACAAGGTGGTAGTTATCGGGGTCGAGGTCGGCGGGCGCTTCGGCATGCTTCACCGCTGAAGCTGCCGCCACCTTGCCCGGCACCGTGCGCACCACTCCTACTCTTCCGGGCCGCTGCCCGTGCAGGCTGGGTCCAGCGTCCGGCCTCCTTGCGGTCGCCGCCATGCGTGCTTTCGCGGCGTCCCTCCTCGAGCTGCCGCCTGGTGGTGACCTTTGCGATGCGGGAGAGGTTCCCAACCTCCACGACATGTTTGCCGAGGTCTGATGCGGCCCTCCGCTCGTCGCCAGCTGCGTGAGCGCCCTGAACCGAACCAGCCCGTAAGCCGCAGCCCTCATTCACGTGCACTGGGACCGCGGTTACTGTTCGAAAAGAGGCGTGCGACAATAAAGGTGGTCATCGGCTGCTAGGACTCAGCGCTCGGGCGGTCAAACGAAGGCAGCCGTTGCAGCCTGTTGCCTGTCCAGCCCATCCACGCGGGCTGAGCACTTCTTGCATGACCTGCACTTCGCGTTGCCCATGGACCGTGGAGTAGCGGATTCACTATACCGACGTGGGTGCAGACAAAAGGCAGCGGCATTAGGAGCTTTATCAGACGGGCCATTACATTTGCAGGCGGCTATGCTGCTGTGGGCTCGGATGGCTACTTAACAGCAGCAGCGCAATCAACGTTGCTCGAATCGTACGCAGGGGCCGCCGGAGCAACCGCCGCAGGGGCTCTTGCAGACGATGCGTGCCGCACCCAGCACGCAGATCGCGGGGAGCGCTCGCCGCCGGCTCGACATGGCCGACGTCGTGCCCGCCGCCGCGTTGCGGGCGCCCCGAGCCATGCACCCCCATCCACCGATGCAGGCGAGGATGGCGTGCTTTTGTGCCCGGGACGCGCAGCACCACGGGAAACTGCTACATGCACGACGGCGAAGATCCCGGAAACGGCATGGGCCACCCGTGACGCTGTGGATATGACCGAGGAGCTGCGACGCCCCGTCCCCTGGCGATCGGCTGTTCGCGCGGCACTGCATGGTCACTGCACTGAGCCGCATCCGCGACTCCACCAGTGGCCGCACCACGCCGGACGCCGCCCGGACGTCCCATGAAGTTGTTGTTTTTTTTTTTTTTTGTATGCTCCTCGCGCGCACGGCCCATCGAGGAGCAAAAGGGCGGGACGAACTTTTATGCCGTACATGAGAGTTCCAGCAAAGAGACTGGGTATCGTTATGGGGACCCCTTCGATATCGTACTGTACCTGGGGGGTGTGGCCCTGATGGCCCTGCCTGCTACCGTTTCCGGCGCCTGTTTTGGGAGAGTGGCGGTGGGGCCAGAAGAAATAGGTACGGGGAGTCCCCCCACCACACAGACGGCCCGGAAATAGTATCGGTACTCATTTCAAACCCCCCTCAACCCCCCCGCGCACCCCCCCACCCGCGAGGGATTCCTCATGTATCGTTGCTGGCCGCGGCGCGCCGTTCTATCGCGAGCGCAAGCGCGAACAAGCCCGCGCCAAAGTAAAAGTTGGCGAGCTTTCAATAGCCCGTCAGCTCCTTACCGCTGCAGAACTTGCGCCCGGCGACAAGGATACCTGGCGAGCTTTAACAGACCCCGTGAAGCGTCCTCCGGAACCGCGAACACCCAGCCCGGATTCCGTGCAGGAACCACGGTCCCCCCCCGCCCAGCCCATCCAAGTTGGATATGCGGGCGGCCGCGCGAACGGCGTGGCTTGCCCGTTGGTAGAGAATCCTTGCAGTCGCAACACAGCGCGCCGTCGCAGCTTCCCTGTTGGAGGTCCCGCTCGCGGACGAGTGTAACGTTGCCGGGGAGCCGCCGGATCTGCGCGCCGACGTGCGGTGGCAGCTTCCGCCTGTTCGCAGCCACCAGGGGCCTCGCTGGTGCCTTTGTGCGTGCGCCTCCGGGCTAGGTAGGCACGTTGGGACTTTGGGCTGCTGGAGAAAGGGCTGCGAAAAAACAAAAAAAAATTGGACCATTTGTTGTTGCAGCAGCGTTGCGCGAAGCACCGCGGGGAGGCGCGGCGGGGCTGACGGGCATGCGCGCGGAGCATTTCAAGATTTAGCTCATTAACGTTGCTGCTATGGAGCTTCTGGCCTTTGCGGCGACCAAGCTCGCGAATGCGGAAGTGCGCGCCGACATCGTCCCATATCGTCCCAGCCCTTGCCTTGGCACGCTTAACGGCGCTTCGCCAGCCCGACGGCGGTGTGCGCGGCATCGCGACGGGCGATGTGTTTCGCCGCCTCTTTTCGCGAGCTCTCGCCAAAAGTTGGGCGACGGTGTTTGATCAGGCGACGTGACCGCACCAGTTTGCTTCGCGGCATGTGTGCGAAAAGGCATTGGATTTGCGCGATGACGCAGTTTTGGTTTCGCTCGACGAGCGGAGTGCCTACGACACCATGTCCCGGGCGTCTTTCCTGATTGCACTCAAAAGCGGCCGCGCCAACGTTGCTTCTTTTCGTGCGGCTGTTTTACGGGGGACCGTCGACTTGCTGCTGGTGGGATGCCCAAGGCAGGTGCCGGAACATCGCTCAAGGAGAAGGGTGTCAGCAACGCGACCGGCTGGCCCCTGCGCTCTACTCTTTGGGACAGCACGAAGCCCTGCGGAAAGCGGCCTCTGCCCTCCACTCCTACACCTTGTTGGCATTCCTCGACGATTTCTACGTCTTCACCACGCGAGAGCGAGCACAAGCCGCCCGCGACACAGTAGTCAAGGTCGTCCACAGCGAATGTGGCATACAGCAGCGGCGAAGGGCCGCCCTCTCCGAGCATAGCTGCGCTGGGGTCGGACGTTTGGCGTGGGGACAAGCCACTCGCCGAGCGCAGGCTTTTAGTGCTGGGCACCCCTGTCGGCCACCCAGAGTTCGTGACCGCGTGGGTTCAGCAACGGATGCGGACGGAACGGGAGTTCCGGCACCAGCTGCAGCTGCCCCAGCTCCCTGACTTGCAGTGCGCATCGCTGCTCCTTGCGATGTGTGCAGCACCGCGAGCTAATCATGCGTTGCGGACCGTCCCCCCGCATGCCGTGGCCGCTTATGCCCAGGCACATGACGATGCCATTTGGGAGACTCTGCAACTCTGCCTCGGTGACGTTGCCCCGGCAGATGTTGAAGGCGCAACAAGCATGCTCAACCGAACAAGGCTTAGGCTACTGGCCATATGGAAGGCAACACAGCGCATCGCGGCATCGCGTATTCGCAACCTTTACCTCCGCGAGCGCACGCTGCTGCGTTCTTTGTCGCCGTCCGCTGGAGTCCTTCTCCGGTTGCAGGCTGGCCCACAGGCAGGGGCTTGGTTGACTGCCGTACCCAGTGGGCCGGCCAACACCCCCAAGCGATGCTGCTGGCACTGCGCCGTCGCCTGCGCCTCCCAGTGCTCCTGTGTGCCAACCGTTGTGGCCCGCCAGGCTGCGGAGGCGAGGTGGATGCTTACGCCCTCGCACCGGTCTGTTGGCTCGCAGGGCAAAGATTGTGGAACGGGCATGGGCGCGTGTGGCTCGGGAGGCCGTCGGCCCGGACGGACAAGTGGTCCCCCAAGAGTGGCTAGCGCACACAACCGCACACAACGTCCGCTCCGACGACCGGCGCCGCTTGGACCTACCATCTACGGCGCGACGCCTCTTGGCGGGGCTTCTTGCTGCGACGCGCAGCTGCTTTGGGATCTGGTCCGGGTCCGTGCCCAACGAGCTCCACCAGCCATGCGACGTGCTGCATCGACGGCATGGGGCCAGGCGTTGGTGGGCTATGCTGGCAGTGTCGGTCCAACAGGCCGTCACAAGCACGCAAGCCAACCATCGGCCCCGTGGCTGGACCGAGTGATGGACCTCGCGGATGCGGCGGGGGAGAGCCGTCTGCCAGATGACGCGTCGTAGTGTAGAGCTGCTCCGCGCACAAAGCATGCGGCAGGAACCCAAGCCATGCAGGTGCAAAGGAGGCGAAAGAAATTGAGGCAACAAAAATGACATGTTCAATGTGTCTGGCTATCAGGATTGTGGCCCGCTCGATGGTGTGTTTCGAATGGTTGTGTTCTGAATTGCAACGAGTACAAGCGGGTGAATGTGTTCTTACAACCTTCGTTGACAGTGCAGAGCATGGGTTGAAGGTAACACGTAGCGTTTTGTTCTTTTATGAGTTTTATGTTGGTTTTGCTGGCCATGGCAGCTTGGAGTCGAAGCTTGAACAGGCTCCTTCGCAACAGGTGTTGCTTTCGTATTTGCATTGCTGTCATGCGGACAGGCAGAACCCTGTCCATGAACATTGAAGGGGCGCCTGGACCGCGTGATGCCATGTCTGACTGTTTGCTTTGGGTGCAAGTGTTTTGTATCAGGTCGTCGGGTTGGCTCGTGCACGTGGGGTACGGGCCTGACGTATGGCTTGTTTGGCGGTGGCATGTTCTTCGAACACACACGCAGGCTAGACTGTGTGCAGCCTTTCGCGAATTTGATACGCAACGGCTGGGATCTCAGCTGGTTGCTCTGTCTTTATCTTAGTGGGCGTGTTTTGGATTCATGGTGCTCACGAGGACTGGGGTCATCAACCGAACATACCTGGAGGTTCTCAGCTTGCGAGGTTCGTCGGGAAGACCGTTGTCGATGTAGGGCGTGCTGGCAGGCGCTCATTCACCTGTCGTTGGCACGGGAGTTGAACGTGGCCGAAAGTCAGCAGTTTGAGCCTTATCATAATTTTATATGCACACAGGAGCTTCGTGGTTGCATGAGTGGGGCCAGGATTGGCTATCCAGCATTCCACATATCTTGAAGGTTGGGGCGATTCCTGGACAAAGTGACGGACAAGCGTGAAAACGTCGGGCGCTTGTAGACAGTCAACCGGTGGTGGTGTTGGCAGGCACGAATCAGGAATTGGCAGCATGTACCAAGGTCGAATACGATACATTCGTCCAATGGTTGTATGCGCCCGCAAAGCCGGCTCGTTTCCAGCCTATGTTTCGTGATGACATGCGGTGCTGGCATTCCAGGACTCGAAGTTGTCCGAGTTGGTGCTGTCTCGTGCCAGTCGGCTTGCTCATTTCCGAATCCTTTGTGCTGTTCTTGTCAGTGTGTCATGTTGCACACGAGGTCCCCACAAGGGTGGTATTCCTGCAGATCCGCGGCCTTTGAGCCGCACACCCAGACAGGGCAGTTGCCAAGAGTAGGGGGCAGTTCGCAATTCAAACAGTTTCGACGTCGAGCAACAATAGGCTGAACACACGCCGCATACACATAAAGTTTGCAATGATTGTCATCATTCGCAGATAGTTGTAAGTTAGTAGTTTTCGGCTCTGCAACAGTTCTCATACCCTGAAGGTCGCCTGGAGCAGGAGGCAAAAACACGCATTGTTACGGTATGTGACATACATGTACATATACATATACATACACATTTCTATGCATCTACATATAGGCATATATATATATATATATATACATATATATTTATATATATATATGTATGTATATATATATATGCACATATACACATATAGACATATACACGTATACACACATGTACACATATACACATATACACATATACACATATACACATATATACACATATAACCATATACATGTATACATATATACATATATACATAAATGCATAAATATACATATATACATAAATATACATATATACATAAATATACATATATACATAAATATACATATATACATATATATATATATATATATACATATACACATATATATATATATATGTGAGAGGGGCATTTGGGGTCTATTTGGCCACTGCTTTATTATTTCACGTGGTTCCTTTAATTTTGCTGCTTAAGCTTGGAATTGGCCAGGCTTCGAATTACACGAAATAAAAATCCGGCCTTTTGGGGTAGCTCCGAGGCCATTTATAGAATTACATGAATTAAATGAATTAACTGAATTAATGATTTAATTCGGGACTCGGGCCGCAAAATTAAATGAATTACATGAACCAAGTCATTAGAGTCGTGTTTGGCATGTTGAAATTTGAGTGAGAATTCAATAGAAATGCATGATGCGTGAGTTTGCATTTTGCCACATTGAGAGTACAGATCCTTGACTCCACTCTATCTCTGGAGTGCCTGATTGCTGAATTGCATTTTCGCTGTGATAGCGAATGATCGAGTCTGTCTCTGAAATCATGAGATGACTGAATGCACCGGAGTATACACGTATTACCCTGCTTCGTCGACTGAGCCATGCAGGAGGCAAAAAAAGTCATTAGTTCAATTAATTCATTCGGCTCGGGGCTCGGGCCGCAGAACTACATGGAATTAAATGAGGTAATTAATCAGTTCAGTTAATTCGTTTAATTCTTTAACGGCCTGGGAGCTCTGAGGGCGGTTTGCATTTATTCATTTGATTCTTTTACTTCCGCGGCCCAGGCCCCGAATTAAATGAGTTAGATAAATTAAGTCCGGCCTCCCGGGGGTAGCCCACAGGCCATTTGCAGAATAAATGTTTTAATTGAATTAATTACTTGTAGTGAATTCATTTAATGCATTTAATTCGGGACCCGGGCCGCAGAATTAAATGAAGGAACTAATTCAATTAATTCATATAACTCGGGGCTCGGGCCGCATAGGTAAATGAATTAAATGAACTACTTGATTAATTCCATTAATTCGGCGCTCGGGCCGCAGAATTAAATGAATTACATGAATTAATTTATTAATTCAAACAATTCATTTAATTCATGTAATTCTTTAAATGGCTTGGGAGCTCTGAGAGCGGTCGGCATGTAGTTCATCTAATTCATTTGATTCTGCGGCCCAGGCCCCGAATGAAATGAATTAAATGAATTAAATCCGGCCTCCTGGGGGTAGCTCCCAGGCCGTTTACAGAATTAAATGAATTACATGCATTAATTGAAATAATTGAATTAATTAGTGATTTCATTTAATGCATTAATTCGGGGCTTGGGCCGCAGAATTAAATGATTTGAATAAAATCAATTAATCCGGTTAATTCATGTAATTCAAGACTCGGGCCGCAGAATGAAATGAATTAGATGAATTAAATGAAGTAGATGAAGTAGATGAGTTACATGAATTAAATGAATTAAATGAATTAAATGAATGAAATGAGCAATTCATCAATTCAACTTGTTCATTTAATTCGGGGCTCGGGCCGCAGAACTCAATGAATTAAATGAATTAACGAATTATTTCAATTAATTCATTTAATTCGGGACTCGGGCCGCAGAATTGATTTCATTAATTCAGTTAATTCATTTAATTCGGGGCTCCGGTCGCAGAACTAATTGAGCTACATGAATTAATTAGTGCAATTAATTCAATTAATTCATTTGCTTCATTTAATGAATGGCCTGGGAGCTTTGAGAGCGGTTGGCACTTAATCCGTTTAATTCATGTAATTCTGCGGCCTAGGCCCCGAATTACATGAATTAAATGAAATAGTTTATATCTTCAACTAATTCAGTTAACTCGTTTAAGTATTTTTTTTGAATGGCCTGGGAGCTCTGAAGGGCGCTCCGCATTTTTTTCATTTGCAATTGTTCATTCTGTGGCCCACGCGCCTTCTCAAATGAAATGAAAGAATCCATAAAGCCAGCATTTCCATTAGTTATTTCAATGGCTTGGGATCTTTGTGGAGTGGTCCGCATTTAACTCATTTGAATCCTGCGGCCTCGTCCTCGAATTAAGTGAAGGAAATCCTACCGCTTCTATGTCATTCCACGGCCAATGCTTCACACAACAAGGTACCCGCGTATTGGTACAAAGAGCCAATTTCCATCAAATTTGTGGCTTAAGGGAAATCCGATTTCCCCAGAGTTTTGTGCAGAATTCTCTTCATTTTCCCCTGCGCCTTTGAGTACGGTTCTTGCGACTACTATAAAATCGGCTAGGCCATCCCTTAAATCATTTGGGATTTCACCTAGTTTTCCCCTTTATTTCCTGTGGTTTTCGCTTTAAGACCCTTCTTTGTGAACAAAATCCCTTTCAAAAATCCCTTTACGTGCCGTCCCTGTGCCCTTTTCGCTGCGTGTGTCCTGTTTTGTAACGTCCCTGTCCACAAATATTGCACTGTTGTAGCAGTTGAAATTGCACATGGAGTGAGTTGTTGAGGCCTGGGTTGTACTACGAAAATATCACCTAGAATGCACGATTTCAGACAAACCTCGGTATTAGATAATCGATCCTAGGGACAGAAGTATGTTCTCAGAATAGAACGATGCAAGGTTAAGTTTTCAATCTGACCTGAAAAAACCGTAGGTTTTATGTTTGCATGTATATGGACGCCATCCGCAGCGATGCGACACGCCCTCAAAATTTTGGACATGTGAAGCTGCAGAAGTGTGGACGGTGGTTTGAAGTGCAGATTGAACCCTCTATGCCTTCCAACATTCATGACCCTCAATTATCGACCGTGAACGCAAGTCCGCGAAACACAGAAGCTATGAAGACAACGGGTTACAAAACTCTAAGGCTCTTTAGCTGTAGGCTTTCTTGATTTCAGACAGCACCCCACCCCCGGTTCTGACGGGTTGTGAGAGGATTTACGGGGTCTTGCCGAGGTGGGGGGACACCGGGGGCGGCACTAAGGCGGCTTTTTGCGCCGATGAGCACCCCCCTCCTCGCCCGTATTCCTCCCGTCAGGGCGACAGTGCCTGGCGTACTCTTTTCCTTTTTTCTCTTCCCAAAGGCGCTTCCACCCCTCCCGGAGGTCTTTCGCTTTCCATGCCTCGTGCAAGGTTTTCGTGCTGCAATCCCAGACCCCCCGTCTCGTTCCGAGATTGGGGGTCTGGCTTGTTGCCTTCTTCCACGCCTCCCGTAGGTCTTTCGCTTTCCATGCCTCGTGCAAGGTTTTCGTGCTGCAATCCCAGACCCCCCGTCTCGTTCCGAGATTGGGGGTCTGGCTTGTTGCCTTCTTCCACGCCTCCCGTAGGTCTTTCGCTTTCCATGCCTCGTGCAAGGTTTTCGTGCTGCAATCCCAGACCCCCCGTCTCGTTCCGAGATTGGGGGTCTGGCTTGTTGCCTTCTTCCACGCCTCCCGTAGGTCTTTCGCTTTCCATGCCTCGTGCAAGGTTTTCGTGCTGCAATCCCAGACCCCCCGTCTCGTTCCGAGATTGGGGGTCTGGCTTGTTGCCTTCTTCCACGCCTCCCGTAGGTCTTTCGTCCATGCCTCGTGCAAGCAATGCCTCGTGCAAGGTTTTCGTGCTGCAATCCCAGACCCCCCGTCTCGTTCCGAGATTGGGGGTCTGGCTTGTTGCCTTCTTCCACGCCTCCCGTAGGTCTTTCGCTTTCCATGCCTCGTGCAAGGTTTTCGTGCTGCAATCCCAGACCCCCCGTCTCGTTCCGAGATTGGGGGTCTGGCTTGTTGCCTTCTTCCACGCCTCCCGCAGGTCTTTCGCCTTCCATGCCTCGTGCAAGGTTTTCGTGCTGCAATCCCAGACCCCCCGTCTCGTTCCGAGATTGGGGGTCTGGCTTGTTGCCTTCTTCCACGCCTCCCGTAGGTCTTTCGCTTTCCATGCCTCGTGCAAGGTTTTCGTGCTGCAATCCCAGACCCCCCGTCTCGTTCCGAGATTGGGGGTCTGGCTTGTTGCCTTCTTCCACGCCTCCCGTAGGTCTTTCGCTTTCCATGCCTCGTGCAAGGTTTTCGTGCTGCAATCCCAGACCCCCCGTCTCGTTCCGAGATTGGGGGTCTGGCTTGTTGCCTTCTTCCACGCCTCCCGTAGGTCTTTCGCTTTCCATGCCTCGTGCAAGGTTTTCGTGCTGCAATCCCAGACCCCCCGTCTCGTTCCGAGATTGGGGGTCTGGCTTGTTGCCTTCTTCCACGCCTCCCGTAGGTCTTTCGCCTTCCATGCCTCGTGCAAGGTTTTCGTGCTGCAATCCCAGGCCCCCCGTCTCGCTCCGAGATTGGGGGTCTGGCTTGTTGCCTTCTTCCACGCCTCCCGTAGGTCTTTCGCTTTCCATGCCTCGTGCAAGGTTTTCGTGCTGCAATCCCAGACCCCCCGTCTCGTTCCGAGATTGGGGGTCTGGCTTGTTGCCTTCTTCCACGCCTCCCGCACATGCCTCGTGCAAGGTTTTCGTGCTGCAATCCCAGACCCCCCGTCTCGTTCCGAGATTGGGGGTCTGGCTTGTTGCCTTCTTCCACGCCTC